GGAGGGAGGGTAAGGGAGAGGAGCAAACAGAAGGGACCACTGCGCCAGCATGCCTTTGGTGCGATTCATGCCGCGCCTCCTGCGCTCTCGCCTCTCCCAGGCCCTTCCCCCTCTCGCGCTCTTCCTTCCCCCGCCCCCTCGTGCCCCCTGTGCACAGCTACTCAGTATGAGTACTACTCCCCTATCTCCTGTGCTGTTTTTGGTTATTGTAATGGCCTCCCGCCAGTGCGGCCGATCGGGGGGGCTCCGGATTCGGTGATCTTGGAATTGTCGGGGACGCTGTTTGGGAGGGAGGGCGCTCTTGGAATCGTCAGGGACGCTTTTTGGAGCTGACGTGCCCTTCGGGGGGTGCCAGGAGCGGTCTGGGGGGGGGTCCGTGGAGGGTTCCGAGGGGAGGGTCCTGGGGGCGGTAGCGGCTAGATCTGAGGGGGGTCCTTGGGACCCCCCGGAACATCTTGGGGATGCGCAATTCGTTAAGAAAACGCCAGCAGAGCCACCCCGGCGATTCCCCCTAGCAGAGCTCAAGTTCTTGCTTAGGCTCAGAGCAGACGCCGGATCGGCGGATTTGTTCGCATGCTGCTTACGTGTACGCAAACACACACGGTATGTCAAACGATAATGCTATATGAGTTGTTCTGCTCGGAGGATCTACCTCCGCTCCGAAGGGTGCTCTCGCATTGGCGCCTATCGCACTCCTCCCCCTGCTGAAGTCTGTCCGTACGAGTGCTATTTCCCTTGCCCCCGACGCTGTGCCAGCGTGCTCCCGCCTGTCTCGCGTGTGGTGCTTCGCCGCCAGCTTCTCAAAGTACATGTACTACATGTACATACGGTAGAGGGAAGCACTTAGTGGCACGCGCGGGAAGACTGCGGTCGAAGTGCAGCCCATTCAATACACCGCGAGCTTTCATCATTGGGGGGGCCTTGCCTGTCGAATATTGCACGAGTGTTCGCTAATTTCTTCCGAGGCCTGAATATCCGTAAGGTTTCCACCATTCCAGTGCCCTGGCTCGCCTGCTGCCTTCCAAGGCGGCACGCTCCCTGGCCCACCTGCGTTTGCGCCGATCAGGCGCTCTTGGCGGCGGGCTGCCCCCGAGGTGGCCCGTTGCCTCCCTGCGCTTGCGACAGTGGGCGCCAGCGCCCCCTCTCCTGACTGCGCGCGTGTTGAACGAGCACGCCGTGGCGGACAAGATCGGCGCCCACGCGCTGCACCACGTCTTGTCCTCGTGCTTCTTCGTGCCTTTCGTCGTCGAGCCGGGCACCCACGGTAACGACGCGGATGTGCAGCGGAACCGGACCATCACGAACGCCGTGGCCAGTGCCAGTGGCAAGTGGCTGGTGCTCGCAGCATCCAGAGCCGACGCGATGCGGAACCGCGTGTGCGAGAGCCGCAGCCGTACGAACCCTTCGTGGCGAGGACGTACTGCTTCGGAGAGGCGTCGGGGATCGTCGAGGGCTTCCCGCAGGACTGCGGCAGAGGCAGCATCTGGCGCTATGCTCTCCTTCTGGGTGCACCCGCCCTGGCGGCTATCTCCGTTCGCGCTGCCCAGCTGCTTGGGTCATCCTGGCCCCCTGGCCTTGGGCACGCCCTGCCCTCCTCCCTGCGCGTGCTGACCGCCGGGGCGGCGCGCTGCACCTCTTCGCCCGCGCGTTGCACCATTCTGGTGCTGTCCTGGTCCCCAGCATCAGCGGCCACTGCGTGCTGTCCGTCGGGGCGGCGCGTGGCTCCGCTCACCCGCACGCTGCGCCATTCTGGTGCTTCCCCGGTCTCCCTGCCAGCGCGGCTGCAACCCGCTGGCCACCACGTGTTGTCCGTTGGGGCGGCGCGTGGCCTCTTCCCCTCCCGCGCCACCCGTGCGAAACTTCTTGTTTGCCGTCACGTGCTGTCCGTTGGGGCGGTGCGTGACTCTGGGTTCCCCTGCCTGTTGCACCATTCCGGTGCCCTGTGGCGCGGCTCTCCTGCCGCGCCCCCCGCGCCCTCCGCGCTCTCGACCACCTGGCCCGCTCCACCTTTTGTGGAGCGGCCGCCCCTGGGCCAGGCACCCCCGGTCGCCACTGTCGGTCCTGCAATTTTGCCCTCCCCGTCGCCTGCGCTACCTAGCCGCGCCCACTCGTTCTGGAGCGGACCGCCCTCGGGCCTGGCGCCTCTGGTCGCCTCGCTGGGCTTCGCGCTTCCTGACGGATCGCCCCGCCATGGGTCCGTGCTTTCCTTTTCCCTTTCCTTTCCCTCGCCCGCTCTCCTCAATCCCCTCCCTCCGGCCGCCGTGGCGCTGCCGCGAGGAGGCTCGGCCAGAGGAAGTGAAGTACACGGCGAAGTGGAGAGTCGCGGGGACTACCATCGCAGAGCACGTGGGCCGGAGCTCGATCTGGACAGGGTTGGCTTCCACAGTTTCGAGCATGGCGTTGTGGACACTCGCGGGGACTACCATCGCAGTGCGCATGTTTCGGAGCGGCGGCTCTTTCCCGCTGCCGCCGCGCCCCCTGTCCCGCTGGGCGCCTGGGCGCACCGCCCGCCGGCTCCCGCGCCAGTGCGTATGGCATCGCAGGTCGTGAAGCATTCTGTTCAGGGCCATCCATGGACGCTTGCACTGTTTCCCCTTGCCCTGCGCCTCGCGCCTGCTGACGCGGTCTGCCTGGCCAGCGCTCTGGCCCCCCGGGCGCTGTCTCCGCCGCCCGCGGGCCGCTCCAGCTGATCATGGCGGAAGTCTTCCGCCTCTGAGTGCTCGCCTTGTCTCCCAACCGCGGCCGCCCCGCTTTTCCTTTCCTTCCTCCTGCGCGCTGGCCAGTTCGCTTCGTAGTGCCCCTGCGTCGCTGCCTCGCTGGTGCGAATTGCCCCGCGTCGCCGCCGACGGAAAAAATATATCCGTAGGGTTTCAACCCTTCCGGAGCCTTGGCTTGCCTGCTGCCTTCCAGGGCGGCGCGCTCCCTAGCCCGCCTGCTTTTGCGCCGATCAGGCGCTCCTGGCGGCGGGCTGCCCCCGAGGTGGCCCGGCCCCTCGCCGCATTTTCGATTTTGGACGCCGGCGCCCCTCTCCTGACGGCGCGCGTGCTGGGCGAGCGCGCCGTGGCCGACAAGGTCGACGCCCGCGCGCTGCGCCGCGCCTTGTCATCGCGCCCCCTCGTGCCTCTTCGCCGTCGAGCCGGGCGCCCGCGGCGATGGCGCCGATGTGCAGCGGCGCCGGGCAGTCGAACGCAGTGGCCAGTGCCAGTGGCAAGTGGCCGGTGTTCGCAGGGACAGCCGCATCCGCGCGAACCCTTCGTGGCGAGGACGCACGGCTTCGGAAAGGCGTCGGAGATCGTCAAGGGCCTCGCGCAGGACAGCGGCATAAGGCAACGCGTGGATTGCCGCCAGATGCAGGGGTGGCTCTCGAGCCTGGACCCCGACGGGTCCAGCCACGTGCCGCTCGAGATCTCCCGCTCCCAGCCGCCGACGGCCGACTGCCGGCGTCCGTCGAGTGCCAGCGCGCGGTTCGCGCGCTCGATGAGCCCGCCAGCGGCGCCCGCGTAGCGAACGGCATGGCCAGGCCCGTCAACGGCATCGCCAGATCGACTTGCTATTCATCGTGATGTTCCAGCGACTGCGAGGGGCGAGCTGTCGGGAGAGGTCAGACCGCCCGTCGTCTCGCAGCCCCGCGGAGGCGACCGTCGCCGACGCCCGCGCCTACATGTTCAATCCCGTAGCGAACGCCAGCGACTATAATATCGGGCCGAACGACATGCGCGCCTCAATGCACGACGTCTGGGCAGACCTGATCCCGCCGAAAGTAGGCCAGATCTACCCCGCGCAGCCCGCCGCGATCAACGTCGTTGAGGACATCGTTCCGATGGAGACCTTCCAGGTTGCTGGCCTCCAGGAGGGCGCGGGCGAGAGGGAGGGGTCTGGCGCTCCATTGAAGCGTCATTTCACGGCAGTGCCAGACTTCCTCAGCGCTCGTCGCTCCCGCGTCAGCTCCTGGCGTGGGCGCTGACTCGCCGACGGTGGCCTGGTTCTGTAAGCGCCTATTGGGGGCGGCGACTGGGGGGCGGCGCTGCGCTGCCCAACGCGCGCCTGCGCGCTGTCTGTGCTATTGCGTGGCGGCGCCTTCTCGCGACAGCTGCGCGCGAGCGCGTCGACGCGCGTGGCAGTGCCTTCCCCGAGGCACTGCCGACGAGGTCACGCCCAGAGTCGCCGCCGTGGGCCTGGCGGCGAACGGCGACGCGTTGGGCCGCGCGGTCGTCGTGCCTGCGCGCGGCCCCGTGTCTTGGACATGGGCAGTTCGTCGCGATCACCATCGAGAAGCCGTTCCATGCCGACGGTGGCCAGCCGACCTCTCCGTCAATTTCACGCGCCGTGCAGACAACGACATGAACGTCTTCATCGCGAAGCCCAGGCAGGTGCGGCGCCCGAGCCACTCGGCTGGGGCGATGCGTGCGTGCCCAGCTTTGGCAACTCGGCGCCGCCTGCGCTGCGGTCGCCAGCGCGACGGCGCGCCGCCGCAGGGGTCAGTGCTGCGTCGCCAGTCAGGCTTTTTTGCAGACCAAGCGGCATGCATCGCGGAGGCCTGGCGCGTTGGCCGCGTAGTGCTGCCGACAACGGGGCAGCTGCGAACAGCCGAGGTCGGCGCCTGTGACACTGCGCGGCTGTTGGCCGCCTTCAGACAGCACGTGCCGCGTCAGTGAGGCTCGGCAGGCGCCGGGCCACCGCGCGGGCCAGGAAAGACTTGTGATTGTTAATGAACAGTGGCAGCTAGAAACGCATTGCCGCAAACGGCTGGGCGAGCTGTATCTGCGCGCGCGCGACCCTAGGCGCGCGGGGGCCCTCCGGCTACGCATCCGCGCAAGCGACGCAATGGCCAGCAACGCCCACCGGCGCCAGCTCGCAAATGAGCACCGAAGGCGAGCAGCCACGCCAGCAGTGCGTGGGGAAATAGAGCCAGCGATCGAATCTGGCTGGAATGCACGATCGGTGCTGCGGCTCGAGTGCATGCCAGGCACGATCTGCGCCGGGCCCCCGCGAGCAAGTGCCCCCGGCTGTGAGGCAACATCGGCCAGTCGCTCTGGGCATAGAGCGCGCCCCTGGGTTCTTTCCGCGGTGGGGAGGCGTTGCGATCCACAACTCTGGCCAATTCAGCTCATCTCGCGCAGGCTGACCACGAGCGAGCCGGCAGGGCTGCCAGGGTTCACGGTATACCGTTCGGGCTGAGGCTCCTGAGCCATGGGTGAGTTTCGCCGAGCGTCCGACGTTGAGGCTTCGCGGTGAATGTGGTAGCACCTGATTGCTGGTGGCCGTCTGTAGCCGATGTGTTGCGGAGGGGGACTCTCCATTGCGCAGTATACCCGACTCGAATAGGAGGGGTCTGCTGCCGCCTGAGGCACAGCGGGCCCGTGAACCTGTATAGTGTTGAGAGGAAATAACCGCTGCTGTGCTATTTCTCATGTTGCCATTGCCGCCGTGCCCCTCACCATTTCACTACTGCCACCCGCCATTCTAGTTCCTCCTCCTCCTCTTCCTCCCTCGTGCCCGCTTCCTGCTGGGCACTCCTCGGCTGCGTTGGCGTCTTCTCCGCCCTGGGCATCAATGGGCGTCTCTTCGCGCGCTGTCTGGCCCGGTCTTGCCCCGTCCCCTGCTGTGCACGGCGCGCGCAGGTTTGTGCTCGAGACCCGATCTGACGCCCGATTCGGCGGCTTCAACAGGTATTGGCGCAATCGGAGGGGATGGGGGCAGTCAGAGGAGAACAATCAATGATACTAATACGTTCCAAGGATTTCAAGCGGTCCATGATTTCCAAAGTTCCATGATGTTCCGCATGGGCTTCAGACGCGAAGGCCCGGGGTATTCCAGAACTCCTGGAACGTATCCCGAACCACACGTATCGTGACATGTTTTTCGTCCTAGGGAGGGGCGGATGCCAGATGTGGCGCGAGCGCGCCTGGCTTGCCCTTTTGCCCTCTTTTCCCAGTGTCGCATTTCTCCCCCCGTCCCCCATGACCATCCTGACGTGCAGTGTGGTCGGCGCAGGCGGCATGGCGAAGCCAAGATTGCAGTATCACCCGAGGTGCTTCCGTGTGGTCCGTCTCGTTCGCTCGGTCGGCCCAGGCGCGGTTCTGTGCGCCGTCGGGGGCCTGGCCCCGCGGGGCCAAACAGCAAACGTGTGCGCTTCGCCTGCCCCGCATCCATCCGACCCAAGGTGCCGAGCAGGGGCGGCGGCGATTGGGGAAGACACCAGCGGCAGCAGCAGCAATCGCAGCTGAAGGACGGGCGTGCTGGGAAAGTCAACGTGGGGTGCGTGGAAGGGACGGGAGGGGAAGTGAGAGGGAGGACGGTGGGGAGGGGAGGGTGGGAGCGATGATGCCAGAATACGAGCGATCTCAGAGGCTGAGTTCGGGACGAGTATGCGGCTTCCAGAACGTCCAAGTGCTATCTGCCACCTCTCAGGGCCTCCCTCGTAGCTATTTCTCGGCCCATCCCGCCACCGTGCCTGGGTTGCGGGGGCGAGACGGGGTGTCACATCTGTGATGATTGGCTTGGGCACGCATTTGAATTCGCCAATGTGTCCTTTTGCCTGGATCCCTCACGGGCAGGCCTTTTGATCTCCCCTTCGGGCGGGCAGATAGGGCATGTTCACTTGGATTCCACTTCGCTTTCCGTGTGCAATGTGACCTCGTTTTCGTTTGTTTTTGTCACAGCGCGGGTGATCATCAAATATTTGCAGGTGCCATCGAGAATTGCAGTAATGTGTCTTTGCGTGCAGCCATGCTCGATCAGAGTTTTAACGTTTGTGCGTATACTAACATTGTATGACTATGTTTTGGACGCGTGAACGCCCTATATATCAACATTTATTTGGGCAGCTAGACATTCGTATGTCAGACAGGCAGCTCACGCGCACGAGTCCCGATGAGCAGTTTCGAATGTCTGCAGCGTAGGGCTCTTATTTCTCGTTGCTCACCATACTGGACTTCCTGGGACTCCCGCGCCTTTCCCTCTAATAGTTATCCTGCTGCGTGTTGTCTCTGCTCGTCCTTCGCCTCTTCCTCCGCTTTCTCCATCCCCCATCTCTCATTGGCCCATGTCGGATTGGCAGGACTTTGCACACCCTTCCGAGTCCCTGCTTCCTCCGCTCCCTCCCATTCTTCCCCTTGCCTCCTCGTGCTCGTGCTCCTTGTGCTCCTGCTCCTCTGCAAGAGGACGCGAAGTCCAACCGCGAGGCAGACTACTTCTGGGAGATCTTGGGTGATGAAACATCGACGGTGCCACGCGCTTCACCAATACTATAGCAGTCACTCGCTTTTGCTCAGAAGTGGATTGGATTCGGAGTGCATGGACGGCGCCCATATCCCATAGTTGCTTCTTTTTGATTGACCAGGGATGCCTCGATCACTGTTCGCCGACAATTGGTTCGTCCGCTGCACATCTCGGAGTAAGCCTCAAAACGAAGCGGTCGGACGGGACGCGGTGATGTCACGAGTGCGTTGGATCAGCCTGAACAGACGCAGGTTCAACCACCAAGACAAGCATCGTGGATGTTTCGATCTGGCAGCCTCTTGAAGACTTCTCTCACACGGAACTCGATCCCGCACCCTTCTTGGTGAACTCTGGGACAGGGCGAGGAGGATGTGGAGGATGAGGGGTGGGAAAGGGACAACGAGGAGGATCCAGAACATACGGTGGGATGATGATGATGATGATGATGATGATGATGATGATGATGATGATGATGATGATGATGATGATGATGATGATGATGATGACGATGATGATGATGATGACTGTTGATGATGTTGATGATGATGTTGATGATGCTGATGATGATGCTGATGGCTAGCTGTATGCTGATGTGATGCTGATGCTGATGTGATGTTGATGCTGAATGCTGAGATGATGCTGGCGCGCACGCGCTGATGATTATGTACTGCTCGTTGACGATGGACTGATGCTCGATGCGGAGGCTGTGCTGGATGATGCTGATGATGATGAGGAGGAGGGAGGAGGAGGTGAAGGAGGTGAGGAGGAGTGTAGGAGGAGGAGGAGGAGGAGGTGGAAGGAGGATGTAGGTCGGAGCAGGAGGGCGGAGGAGGATGGATTGCGGGGGCGAATAGGTATCGACAACGGACGCCTCGTCGACGGCTGGCGGACCGACGACATGTCATCCATCAAGGCTTTCTCGAGTCTTTCTCTCGCTCTTGGATCTTGGAGGCTTCTGAAGGACAGGTTGGAGATCCTCCAGGGGCAAATTTCGGGGGCCTTGGGGCTCTCTTGGTGGACTCTTGGGCCTCTCCTGGGTGGCCTTGGGATAGCCCTATTGGGGGCCATCGTGGGGGAGCGTCCCTAAAATTTTCGCGCTGCTCACCCGCGTTGAAGATCTTGGAGGGTGCTCTTGGGGACAGAGGCGCTCGGGGTCGATCTGTGGGGCACTCCTGGAGCCCTCCTCACGGGCCCTCTAATGGGCTTCTCTGGGCGACATCGCTTGGATGCTCACCCCTCTCTTTTTTTCAGTGTGTGGTTGTTGTTTGGTTGTTTGGTGTTTTTTTTGTTGTTGATTGGGTAGTGGTGTGTGTTTTTTTGTTTGTTCTGTTTGTTTTTTTTTTGTTGCTGTGGTGGTAGCTTACTTTCTTTGTTTCTTTTTTTCTTTTTGTGCCGGGTCGGTCTTTTTTTTCTCTTTTTGTTTTTTTTTGTTTGTTTTGTATATTGTTTTTCTGTTTATTTTCGAGTTGAGTTTTGTGAGGATCTTTCTTATCGAGGGAGGGAAAGTGCTTTGGCTTCTCGAGGGCATCCCTGGGAGACTCTGTGTCCAGTGGCCGCTTGAGGCGGTCGTACGGCGATCATGGGGCCTCTTCGAGCTTGGAGGCCGTACTGAGCTATCAGTCATTGTCTTGTGCCATCTTGGTGGTCATTTTGGGCTCCCGGGTGCCATCTGCGGGCCATCTTGAGCCAAACGGGACTCTCTGACACCTCTCCGTCCAGACCCAAGGAAGGAGATAGGGGGGACGAGCAAACCTCCACCCGAAGTTGAAGGAGGTTGGCAGAGGAAGCGCTCTGAACCACCCACCTCCGCCCAGAGGGGGAAGGGGAGGGAGACGAGAGGGAGGAGGGTCAATGCCAATTGGCATTTCCATTCAGTCGATGCTGTGGCTCTGCTCCGCATATCGCACTGTCTCGCGTCCTGCCTCCGCACGCAACGCCCACCTGGCCAGGATGACGCAGTGCCGCTTGCTTTCTTGGGTGCAGCTTGCGCGGGTGTGTGTGTGTGTGTGTATATGTGCCGTTTTGAACACCGAAGTCCAGGATCTCCTTCATAGACCCCTCGCGCCGCAACCAGCACCACCCCCTTGCATGTGGGCCGGGCGACTGGGTGCAGCTGGTCACGGGGCCAGCGGGCCCGAGCGGCCTGCCGAGTCCGCCACAGGCTCGACGAGGCCACGGTGGAGGCCCCCCAGGGGGCTCCGGAGGCCCCCCGAGGGCCTCTAGAGCCCCTGCGGAGCCCTCGGAGCCCCCCAGCTCGGAGGCCCGAGGGACCTTTGCCAGGGCGGGGGGGGGGGAGTGCGGGATGTAACGGTGGCCTCGGGATCGCCATGCGATGTTTCTCTTTGTTTTCTTCAATTCTGGCGTAGCCACTGCCGCGGTGCGGAACTCGGACACCTGGCGTGCGCCCTCGAGGGCGTCTTGCTGTCCAACATGCTTGTTGGGATCCCGGGAGGTGGCCCGCCCCCCGCTCACACGCTTGCGGTGGGCCAACGCAAGGCCAGAAACTGCGTCCACCCCCTCTCTGCCTTTTCTTTATCCTCTCGGGGCCCAGCACCGCTGCTGACCTCACTTCGCCTTCCAGACAGCTGCTGGATGCCACCGCCTCTTTCTGGGGACTCATACGTCGTTGCTGGGTTCGTCCGAGAGTGCAGTCTCGCCAGCGGTTGCCTTGACTGCTGCCCGCTGTCGCCTTATGCACGGCGTTGCAGAGGATCATCGCCAGGGACCCGCCTCGAAATCCTGCCTGGGACGGAACAGTAGGGAGATGGAATGATCACGGGGAAGAGAAATGGAGGAAGGGAAGATGCATGGCAAGGCAGGAGCTCGTAGGACTCGTCGGAAAGATCAGGAGATCTCCAGAGCTTCTAAGCGACTGCAAAGATGGCCAAGGAAATTCCCAGATGCTCCAAACTTACCCAAGACGGCACCAGGTCGGCCACAAGGGAGCCTCGAAGGGAACACCTGATCAGCATGGTCAGTCGAACACCTAACACACTTCCATTGTTCCCAACCATCCTGCGGTGTTGGGTCCTCGTTTTGAAGAGACGTCGCCCCGCGTTCCTTCCTCCTCCTTCCTCCTCCTCCCCTTCCTCCCCCCTCCTCCCCCTCCCACACCCATTCTGGCACACCCCTCACACGTTTCGTGGCCCCATAGGGAGCTCCACCGAAGGCCCCATGGCTGCCGTCCGCATGCGTCCCGCACACCCATTTCGGCACACCCCTCACACGTTTCGTGGCCCCATAGGGAGCTCCACCGAAGGCCCAGTGGCTGCGTCCGCATGGCGGCGCCGCACCCATTTCGGCACACCCTTCACACGCTTCGTGGCCCCATAGGGAGCTCCACCGAAGGCCCCAGTGGCTGGCGCACCCGCATGCGGTTCACTCACACAGGGCAGCGCTTCTGGCACACCCCTACACGTTTCGTGGCCCCATAGGAGCTCCACCGAAGGCCCCAGTGGCTGCGCCCGCATGCGGTTCCACCCCCATTCTGGCACACCCCTCACACGTTTCGTGGCCCTCCTCATACATTACCCGTTACGAAAGTTATTCATCTGAGCACTGACGACTAGGGCGTCTCAGAGTGGCCCTCCCTTCCCCCACGTAGACTTGCTAGTTGCCCCGGCAGTCATGTCAGCCTGGACGCGGCGGAGAGTATTTCCGGGGTTTGTCTCCCTGGTCAGCATTTAATTAGTAATATACAAATTTCCAGGATAAAATATCTGCACCCGTAGGACCAGCGGGGGAATCACGTCCTCGGCCTCACTTCCAGGCAAAACGTCTGAAAGCTCTTTCCCGCGTATGAGAACCACAGGAAGAGATTATCACTCTCCCATACCAATTCTCACCACAGCGGCCTACACATGTCATTTTAGCCAAAGATGAAGTAGAACTCTCGTACACGGCCCCCATAGGGAGCTCCACCGAAGGCCCCAGTGGCTGCGCCCGCATGCGGTTCCACCCCCCATTCTGGCACACCCCTCACACATTTCGTGGCCCCTTAGGGAGCTCCACCGAAGGCCCCAGTGGCTGCGCCCGCATGCGGTTCCACCCCCCATTCTGGCACACCCCCTCAGACCACATATTGGTCGTGGGCCCCATAGGGAGGTCTCCACCGAAGGCCCCCAGTGGCTTGCGCACCGCATCGCGGTTCCACCCCCATTTCTGGCACACCCCTCACACGTTTCGTGGCCCCTTAGGGAGCTCCACGAAGACGGCCCTCGACCCAGTTGACTGCGCCCGCATGCGCTTCCTCCCCCCATTCTGGCACCACCCGTCTCACGTTTCGTGGCCCCAAGGGAGCTCAGGGGGGGGCCCAGTGGCTATGCGCCCGGGTCTACCCGGCGCCGCCCCCATTCTGGCACTCCACGCCCCTCACACGTTTCGTTGGCCCCATTGGTTTGAGCTCCACCGAATGGCATACAGTGGCTGCGCATGCGTGCAAGACCCCCTTTCTGGCTACCTCTTTGGATATCCAAAGTGCCATGAATGCTACATCGCGGTGATGGCCCCATGTGGTGCGCCCGCATGCGGTTCACCCCCATTCTGCCACCCCCATTCTGGCACACCCCTCACACGCTTCGTGGCCCCATAGGGAGCTCCACCGAAGGCCCCAGTGGCTGCGCCCGCGTGCGGTTCCACCCCCATTCTGGCACACCCACTCACACGCTTCGTGGCCCCATAGGGAGCTCCACCGAAGGCCCCAGTGGCTGCGCCCGCATGCGGTTCCACCCCCCCATTCTGGCACACCCCTCACACGTTTCGTGGCCCCATAGGGAGCTCCACCGAAGGCCCCAGTGGCTGCGCCCGCATGCGGTTCCACCCCCCATTCGGGCACACCCCTCACACGTTTCGTGGCCCCATAGGGAGCTCCACCGAAGGCCCCAGTGGCTGCGCCCGCATGCGGTTCCACCCCCCATTCTGGCACACCCCTCACACGTTTCGTGGCCCCATAGGGAGCTCCACCGAAGGCCCCAGTGGCTGCGCCCGCATGCGGTCCCACCCCCCCATTTCGACACACCCCTCACACGCTTCGTGGGTGGCTCCATGGGGAGCTCCACCGAACGCCCCAGTGGCTGCGCTCGCATGTGGTTCCCCCCCCATTTCGGCACACCCCTCACACGGTTCGTGGGCCCATAGAGAGCTCCGCCGAAGGCCCCAGTGGCTGCGCTCGCATGCGGTTCCACCCCCTTTTTCGGCACGCCCTTCACACGTCTCGTGGCCCCATAGGGAGCTCCACCGAACGACGCAGTGGCTGCGCTCGCATGCGGTTCCACCCCCCATTTCGGCACACCCCTCACACGTTTCGTGGCTCCATAGGGAGCTCCACCGAAGGTCCCAGTGGCTGCGCTGGCATGCGGTTCCACACCCCATTCTGGCACACCCCTCGCACGTTTCGTGGCCCCATATGGGGGCTCCACCAAAGGTCCCAGTGGCACTGCCCGCTTGTCCGTCGCCGGTCGCCCATCCACCCAGCTCCAAGCCTTGTGCCTTGCGCTTTCACCACACCAGAAACAGCGCTCTCGTAGCCTATAGGGAGCACCACCAAAGGTCCCAGCGGCACCGCCCGCATGCGTCCGCCACGCCCGCTGGCCGCGCCTGCCTGCCGTTTCACCCACCCAGTACAGCTGGTTTTCGTGGCCCCATAGGGAGGCTCCACCGAAGGTCGAGCGGTAGCACCGCTCGCTATGGCGTCCCGCCACCCACCAAGCATCAGCCCTTTGCTGACCGCGCTTCGGCCCACACAGTACAGCGTTTCGTGGCCCCATAGGGAGCTCCACCGAAGGTCCCAGTGGCACCGCCCGCATGCGTCCGCCACCACCCAGCACAATTGCGGCATTCACAACTGCATATGGTTGGGTCCTTCGCCAGGCTAATTTTTAGGCGCTTCTGGGATTCTGCAACTTCCTGTCGAAGATGGACCCAAGACGCGGATTCATGTCTAGAGATACCACTACCTGGGGCCCCAACTTGGGTAATGCCCGCTACCCAGAAAGAATGGACATAACGATGTCAAAAGGACTGGCGGGGCTCACCTTCGGGGGGTGGACCTTGGGTGTGGACCTTGCCTCCTGTCGTTTTGGCGCCCACGCTGGGGGAGGAGGACGAGGAGGGGGAGGAGGAGGAGGAGGAGGAGGAGGAGGGGGAGGAGGAGGGGGAGGAGGAGGGGGAGGAGGAGAGGAGGAGAGGAGGAGTGAGGAGGAGGAGGAGGAGGAAGAGGAGGAGGAGGAGGAGGGGGGGGGACGGGCGGGGAGCGGGGCTGTGCGGGGCGAGCTGTCGGTCAGTCGGCCTTCCGCTGCGTGACTCCCCGCAGGCCTTCCCCTGGGGGCCAGCTCTGCATCCCGAGGCGTACTTCGGGGGCCCTGGGGTCCGGGCTGAAGGTTGCCGACGTGCGTCTGCCGCGATGGCTTCGGGGCACGGGGATGTCTGGGGCGCTCCCGTGCGCGCCCAGGCTCCGGGTTCAGCGGCACGCAGCGGTTCCCCCCATGCTGCAGAGAACCCAGGCATCCGACGGGACGTTCTTTGCGAATGCGCGGCCCCAGAGGCCCCGAAGCCTTTCCTGGGTCCCCGGGGCAAGTTTTTAGTCGGGCCTGTCCCTCTGCAGGGGGGAAATTCAAAAATAGTAAAAGAAAATAAGCCTGGGGACGATTTTTGAGTATTTTTTTGGTAAATTTTGGGTATTTTTGGGTTATTTTTGATTTTTCGTCCAAAATCCCCCTGTAGGGGGACAGGCCCGTCTTAAGGCAAGTTCTCCGTCCCAGGTGCATTTTTCACGGCCCCTGGGCCCTGGAGGCCGAGGTCGAGGAAACACGCCCCGACTGAGCAGAGTCGTATCGTCGGAGATCCGGGTTTTCGCACGACCGGATCATCCTCCTTTCCAGTTCCTCGAGCTTCGCTTCCTCCATCGCCCCATCCCCTCGTTTATGGGTCATAACTCGGGTTTTTGGCGTTCGTTCGTGGCGATCCAGGCTCCCCTTGAGCGCCCTCGGCGAGGCGCAACTGCAGGAGAGCACTCCAAGGCTGGAAAACCGCCGAGGGCCTACGAAAGCACGCCCGCAAGCCTCGAGCCTCGATCGTCGGAGATCCAGGGTTGCGGCGTCGCGCAGGGGGGCGTCTGTTTACCCTTCGCGCCATAACGCGCGTTGTGCCCTCCCCCTCTCCCTCCCCACGTAGCGCAACGCTCCTCCCACCCAGTGCGTCCCCAGCTCTGCCGCAGTGCGTCTGGCACCACAGTCTGTCGCGGTGGGGGGCGGGGGGCGTTACGCTGTGCTCCCGACCCGCCGTCATACCCCCTCACCTTCTCCTCCTCCTCCACCTCCTCCACCTCCTTTACTCCTCCGTATCCTCTTCTTCTTTCTCATCATCCGTCTCCGTCTCCTCCTCCATCTCCGTCTCCGTCTCCTCCTCCTCCTCCTCATTCTTCTCCTTCTTCTCCTTCTTCTTCTTCTTCTTCTTCTTCTCTTCCTTCTCCTCTTCCTTCTCCGCTCCGCCCCCTTTCGGGCGACGAAATCTATACATATCCACTGCCCCCTGGCCAGGCTGTTGCTGGGCCCAGGAGCTGTGTGAACGCCCCCTGGCCAAGCCAGGAGGGCGTGTCGTATACACCGCTGCTGGGTTCAGGATCGACCTGGCCATTCTCGCCGCGAGTTCCGATGAGAGAGTGCCCTCTGGGGCAGGGCGGGCCCCAGGGCTGGCCGGTGCCCCGCTCCGTCCCAGGAGAAGCAGGGTCAGCTCGCGCGCAGCGGGCCGCCGCGCTCCCGCTCTGGCTGGCAGGAGGAGAAGGTCGGTGCTGCCGCCGCTGGGCGGGGCGGGCAGCGAGAGGCGGCGACTAAAAGCTGGCGGAGAGCCCGGAAGGGAAGCGAGAAGGGGCGGGCCTTCCCAGAAAGCTCGGGAGGCCTCGGGCCTTTGGAGAAGTCTTCGAAGCCTTCCCCGAAGACGTGGAAGACTTCTCCGAAGGCTGCAGGGCTTCTGAGAAGCCCCGCCGCCTTCTGAGACGGCCACCTCCTTCTCACTTCTCCCCCTCGCTCGCCGCCGAACAAAGGGTATGCTTCCGCTGTGGTGTGGTTTGCGATCTGCGTCGGTTGTGGCTTGGGGGCACCACGTTGCCCTTGCCGGGCCTCCCTTGGACGCGGCGGATAACTCAGTCGAGGTCCTCACCCGCCCCCCAGGGTGCGGGTTTCAAACTAAATCATTTGCAAACCGCACCTTTCGGAGTCGCTGATAGAGATCCGGGGGCGTTGGAGAAAAGGCCTTGAATCGTTTCTGCGTCGCAATTTTTTCACCTGGCGTTCTCGCCCGGTTCCAGGCACCGAGGTCCTCATGAATCGATCTTGCCCAAGCAGACAGGTGGGGTCTAGGTCTCCAGTCGTGATTTTTCGCAATGTGTTGAGGTAGTGTGTAGCATCTAGGAGTGTAGAGGCATGCGTGGCTCGGGGTGGATGCACTGTAGGAAACCACTGGACCAGGCAACATGGAAAATGTGTAACAGTGTCCGCGCTCCGCAGTGTTTTTGGCACGAAAAACATCATGGTAGCGGAGCTGGCCGACACCAGCTCCAGCTATCGCCCCCCAGCGCCGCTGGCCTTCCTGCGCGCGCGTAGCGGCGCCATCGCGGGCGATCCTCGGCAGACCGTACAACGGCACATGGAGGCGAGGCGAAACCCGCCATAAGGGGCTCGGGTGCGACCGAGCAGCCAAGGGCACTCGGGAGGTAACCGGGCGGATCTAGCAGGTAAGCCACAGCAGTGGCGGCAGGTGTCAACTTGCAGGGGCGCGGCCTCAAGCCGCCCATCTTCGACGGACTCGAGGAGCACTGGCAGGAGTGGTCCTTCGTGACGAGAGCCTTCTTCGGAGGGCATGCGCAGTTATCCCGACGTGTGCTGAGGGCGGCTGAGGGTATCATGATCGAATATGACATACCGGCAAAGCACATCCATAACGCGGTGGATAACGAGGGCACCGCCGCAAACCCTAAAATGTTCTCCAGCCTTGCCATGAACGTGGAAGGCAGGGCGCAGATGATCATGCGAGGAATTGAACTACAGAGCGGTGTAGCAGCTTCGGCAGCGCTGTGCAAGAGGTGCGATGCAGCTACGGCGTTTCGGGCCCAGGGTATCATGACAAACGCCCCGAACGTTGTGCAGGTCCCATGCATCCTAGCGGTGTAGGAGTCTCGTGCGGCGTCGCACGTATGAGAGGGTTACAGGCAACGCTTTCAATGTGGACGCGAAGAAGAACATCTGCTTCCAGAAGGCGCCCAGGAACATCAGGACGTTGCACCTGAAGGCGGGCGAGCGGACCTGCGACGAGCGCGTGGCGATCGCCATTCAGTTGCTATAGGCGGCGACGATCTACGTCGACAGGTGCCAGAGGCTCTCGCCCCCGCCCCATTGGTCGACGCGCATGCTCGGGCCTGCGGCCCGGACAGATGCGGGGCGAAGGCGGCGAAGGCGACGGCGGCGATGGGGGCAAGGGCGACAAAGGCAAAGTCGGAGAGACAGGAGGGAAGGCAGGTGGGAAGGCGAATGAGACGGACATCATACCCGAGTGCTTCAACTGCAGGCGTAGGGGCCTTGCGCGCGGCGCTGCTGGCGTCCAGCCCAGGCGGGCGGTGAGACGTGATTCAATGGGCGTGGTCGTGGGGGCCCCAGAGGCAAAGGTAGGGGGCGTGCCGGTCGAGGCGTATCGGTCTACGAGCGCTCAGGGCAAGTGGATGCTTGGTCGCTCGTGGGCTCTTTGCCCGGCAGTGCGGCGGCGGCAACCAGGGCCCGGGCGGGGGTCATGCGGCGCCTGGAAGGGTCGCATCCATCGCGCGGCAGTCGACGGCCGCCGGGTCCGTTCTGGATGCAGGCTACTTCTACGCGGTGACGGAGAGGTCCATGATCAGCAACTCGAGGACTCAGGGCGAGTAGGTCAGCATGTCGGTGCTGGCCGACATCTGCGCGGACGAATGCGCGCGCGGCCAGCGCGACTTCTTATGCGGGCCCATGGCGCTCAGCGGGGGCCCGAATGTGGCAGTGGCTGACGGCGCCCCGTTGACGCGCGACGGTCAGAAGACGGTGGCACTCTACGTCGCAGCGGCAGGATCATCATGGAGTTTCAGGTGGCTGACGCGAAGCAGCCCATCATGGGCGTCGGCAAGTTCTGCAAGGGGCATGGCGACAGAGTGGAGTGGCGCGGCGGACAAGTGGGAGTGCTGCGACCCGAGACTGCGGCGCTCGCACTCGGATGCTGGGCTTGGGGTGGGCGTGTCCAGGATTGCTCGATGGTGAGCGGCGCGCTCGTGGCACCAGTGGGGGCAGTAGCCGCAGCGCGATCGGGAGGGGAAGATGACGGCCATGCGGTAGCGCGAGCGCTAATAGGTTGACCACTAGCTCAGGCAGCGGAGGCATGGCCCGCAGTGGATGTATTGGCTTATGCGCCCATGGAAGGGCCGGCGGGGATCCCCAGCGATCGCGTCCACCCGGGGCCCAGGGTGGTGGCGCAGGACATCGCGGGGCCGCGTGAACCGGGTGCGGAGGAGATTGAGAGGCGCGAGCTTTCGCATTTCCCATCAGAAAAATAGCGTGAGGCCTGCGTGCAGGCGAAGAGCCGCGACGTGGCGCGCAATGGGTTCGACGGGGGGATCGCCGTCATTCCGCTGATCAGTTTCGATTGCGGTCAGGCTGGAGAGGTGGCGATCCATTCGATTTCGGATTCGAAGTCGGGTGCCGCGCTTCCACGAGTGGCGCGTGCGGTGCAGCCATCGTCGAGATGGGTCGCGACGACCCTTGCATGATGGCCTCGGCGGTGTCGTGATTGGCTGAGAAGGGGCGCTCACGAGTCGAAATGCAGTGGGCGGGGCTGCGGGGCGGGATCTGCCAGACCGCCCCGACGAGGCATTCGGAGAGGCGGAGCTGCCGGGCGCGCGGAAGCGCGGGGGGGGCCATCCAGACAGCGAGGAAGCAGGTGAGGGCCCTGATGTTGGCGATGTCGAAGAACATGGGGAACAATCACTTCGCGTCGAACGCCGCGTTCCTCGCGCGGCTTCCCCGCCGCGTGGCGTTGCTCTGCGGCGGGCGCGTGGTGGGGGCGCCGACCGGGCGCCCTGCGAGAAGACGCGCGTGCTGAAGTGCCACGAACCGATCGTGGAAGTCGGCGGGGCGGTGACCTATAGACGACAAAAGACCGAATCCACGGGCCGGAGCTCTGGCTGGGTGGTCTCTGGCTGGGCAGATGCCAGGGGTGCCGAGCGCGTCGTCGGCGCCCCGACGGGGGTCGCCATGTCCGGGGCGGTCGGGAGGAAAGGGGGGGCATTTGCTGGGGCCCAGCTTTGCTGGTCGACGACGTGACTTGGGCCCCCCCCTGAAGGGCGGCCAAGGCGTCGAGGGGGGCGCCGCTGGCCCAGAGATCGACCCGGGAACCGCTCATGTTGGGGCCCCTTCCCAGGATAGTAGGAGGCCCCATTGCCGGCCCCGCCCGCCGCGGCGGCGGGCGCAGCGCCGCTGGGGGGAGGGCCCGCCGGGAGGCGGGCCCCCGCCAGGAGGAGGGGCCGCGGCAGGAGGAGCTTCAGCAGCGACGCGCGCTCCCGGGCCCGCGACAGCGGCGGCAGGAGGCTCATCGCCACTCGACGACGTGGACGTCGATGCGGCCAGACCTCCGAGGTAAGCGCTGCAGGGAGAGGTCGCCAGTGGACACGGGTCCAGCACCGCTGGCTCAGGCGGTGGGCGCGGCGGCGGAGGGCAGCCCAGCGCCGCCGGCTCGAGCGGGCGGTGGCAAGGGCGACCCTGGCAGCCAGGGCAGTGACTCCCAAGTGAAAGCGAGGCGGAGACAACGGAGGTGACCGGGCCAGGAGTGGGTCACGGATCGCTGCGATCTGCGCGGCCAGCGAGATGTGTGAGTGGACGACGGTGGACGACGACGAGGTCCACGCGAACTGAGGCGACTTCCACGAGGAGAGGGGGAGGCACCTCGAGAAGATCGGGGGCGACGACCAGCAGATCGTGAAGCAGATTCCGATTGCCGAGGCGACCTCCAATATCTTGACAGGCAAGCGGGTTGACATCGCATCCACCTGAACGACGGCAGCAAGAAGATGAGGTAGGCCACGCGGGATTTCGACCAGAAGACCCATGGGCATGATAACGTCGTGGCTACCATTCCGTCACTACCACACCTAAGGCGATGCTGGTCAACGCGGGGGTGGACGGCCACGTGCTCGCATGCGGCGAATGCAGTGGGGCATTGTACCAGGCGCCCCTGACGGAGGACAGGATCGTCTTGGAACGGCCACCCGAAGCAGGAGTACCAGCAGGTTGCGCGTGGGAAGCGCTGTGCGCGTTCCCGGGACTCAAATGGACATCCGAGGCATAAGGGGATCACGGCGCCGTCGCGATGGAGCGGATGGGTGTTGATCGATGGCGCTGCGACGGCTGCGTCCTCATGGGGTCCCAAGACAAGGTAGAGGGAGGACGTCGCGCTGATGTCCTCCTCGTGGCAGGGCCCCAGGAGTCACTGGGCCAACTGCTGGCAGACATGGGCGGGATGGTTGGGCTCTCGGACTTGGTTGACATGTGCAGCGCAGGCGACGATGGCACCTGGCGCATGCCTGAGCGTGCAGGTCGGCAAGGTCGAGGGTGGTGATGTCATGGAGGGCAAGGCGGCGCGTCGCTAATCGAGGGCGCGCTTCTGGAGCTCAGGTTGCGGACGGCGAAACCCTCGGTCGCCCCAGAGACGGAGAATGAGGTTAAGCAGATGGGAGGGGCAGGGACAGGGGGATAAGAACAAGGAGGAGGAGGAGGAGG